CTTACCTCATTTGGATTACGGATACCCCAGACACTTCCCTTTCCCCTTGGATTTTGGATACCTCAGATGCTGCTCACCCCAGTCCTGCCTGTTTCCTCCCAAGCCCCAGGCTTTGCCAACCCGCAGTAAGAACCACAAAGACTGAATCTTGAGTTCTGTTTCTCTCTGCCAAACCCCTCACCAGTGTCTGTCTCTACAGACCCTGTCCGGAGCTGTGCTCAGCATCACCGCCACGTCTGGTGGCACACCCTCAGTTACCCTTTTAAATAAACTTTTGTTTTTTCCTCCTTCCCTACGTCTCCTCGCTTGATTCTGCATGTCTTGGGTCAGGAAACTCCCCACAGTCATGACAGCAGTTCTTTTTTAATATGAAACAAACCACTTAATTCTTTAATTTACTACGTTGTAAATACAAATGATGAGCGGTGTTTTCACTGACAGTTTATTCTGAAAAATGTAAATAATATTCTTAACCCTTTCAGGTTGTGGTCAACCCAAATAGGTAGAACACATTTTAGTGACTGATTCTTATTCAAACAAAGATTGAATTTAACAAATAAAATGACTAATGTGGGTTAAAACCAAGAGTGGAAACTTGCTGAGTGCATGAAGCATTTCTCCTGTGTTTTAGAGGAGAGACACAAATCATGTGTCTGCCGCTGAGTCACGAAATTCACACAATAGCTCTTGTCGGTGAAAACAGCTGAGTGTTCTGCACAAACTCATCTGAAATGAAGACCATGGACACATGTGTAAATATAAAGTTACAAAAACAATGATGCCAGAAGACGATCAGGCTGTTATCAGCGCTGGTCTGAGGTCTGTGGTTGATTCATTCTGCACAAACCGCATTCTTAACCAGATCTGTCTCCCATTCAATGTCAAGTGCAAAATAAAGTTTCGGTTAAACAGTTGAAATGTTAAATGCTGCGGGAATAGGGAGCCTTAAGCTTCCTCCCTTTCCAGTTGGCTCAGTGGTCCCTGGAAAAATGAATGTAAGTCAATGAGGCTAAGAGCCATTTTCTATACCTGTTTGATATATGCCATGGATTGCACATAAGATGTCCGTGAATTTTAAAGACACATTTTAATACCAAGAAAGCAGTTATTTTCTAATGGCAGCAACATTTATTAGGTTTTGTGTGAAAATACATGTAGGACTACAAGTGTTTGTCTCACTAAATTGACATCATCAAACCAGACATGGGGAAGATTAGCTTAGCGTGCTTCAAATCCTTCTTTTGGGACAAAGTACATGTTACAACCCCTGCTAATGGAAGAAAACAAGAACCCATCCTAAGGGACTGCTGTGCCAGTGCAACCAGTTGATTGGCTGCTTCAGATGTTTCTGCCTTCTGCTTTATTATTGGTGTGGCTGCACCTGTGCAGCCAAAACAGGCTGCTAAGTGCAAGTTGGAGGGACTCAGGAGGATGAGAAGTTGAGGCTGATCAGAGGGAGCACCTTTGGGTGCTCTTGCCTGTGTGGCATTTTTTTGGTGAGGCCTTTTAGAGGCTTGGTTTTAATAAAAAAATATACTCTTAAACATTAACCTTGTGTCCTGACCTCCTCCTTTTGTTGCAGTCCCACGAGCCGGGCTGTAACATACAACATGTGTGTGATACTTGGGGGCACAGGAGTTAAGTACTCACTCTGTAATTGGAAGGTTGCAGGTTCTAGCCCTGCTCAGTGTGTCGCTGTCACTGTGTCCATGGGCAAGACACTTAGCCCCCCTTGCCTGCTGGTGGTGGTCGGAGGGACCGGTGGTGCCAGTGCTCGGCAGCCTTGCCTCTGTCAGTGTGCCCCAGTGCAGCTGTGGCTACATCGTAGCTCATCCCCACCAGTGTGTGAATGGGTGAATGACTGATTGTGTTGTAAAGCACCTTGGGGAGTTCCGGGACTCTAAAAGGTGCTATATCAAATACAGGACATTCGATACAGAGTGTAAGGCAAAGCGCATTAGAATATAGCAGCTTTTATATCCTCATTCACTTGCACACTCTAGGGGAACCATGGACTTAGGCTTCATTTTATGTGCATTTTGTAGAAAAAATGTTTAAAAATGCTAATGTTTGCTGTTGGCTGGACTACAATTAAAGTAACTTGCCTCAGATGTTTCCAGTTCAAACAAAATAAATAAAAGTTTCACCCAGTCAGTAAAGCATGTTCACTTGTATTTCTAAATGTAATTTGGGACAAAATCTAACGGTTTTTACCGATCTTATTAGCCGAAGAAGCATCTGTCACATCCCTATGAGATGTTTTACACAACTTAAATTCAAAAAGTAATTTGTAACCCAACTATTGATACTCATATTGCATTATGTGTAATAGTAAAAGAAAGAGAGGAACGTGTAGAATAAGAGAAACATTGTTAGTGTATTTTTTTAAATAAAGCTTTTATAGCTTTTTGCAAACTTCAGTCGCTTAAAAAATCTTTTAACTTTAAAATCTGGCAACTAAACCAAATCAAATTGTTTTTTTTTTATTATCATCTCTAAAACAAACAAAATAATATTCTCCATGGATTTGTGCACTTCATAAAACCCAAAGGAAATAACTTCACACCATTAGGAGGGAGCTTTATTCATTTAATTTATTAAGATGCTACATAGTCCAACCAGGTTGTTGAGTTTTTCTAATTTTACACCAGACTACCTAACTAGGAATATTAATCATCTTCTCATTTAGACTTATTTATTTATATACATACAAAACAGTTTGTTGACTGCTGACATTGATCACGGTGATGGTCTTAGTCCAGGACAGGTCTGTGTGGTACATCTTATAACCAGGACAGGCTCGAGTTGTCCTTGCATGTTATCTTTACTGGAGTCCCAACCCGATGGACTTTACCATATCACAGGCAAAGATAAACATCTGATCACATATGTGAATCATCCTGGTGTTTAAAAGTGTGATCTCCGTGTAAAAATGTTTGGATTCTCCATGCAGGAAACGCTGAACAAGAACAACTTCCTTGCAAGAACCATACAAGCCAGGTCTGACAACCCGACGCTGGACCGTAGCTCGAGCCCGCTCTGCCCTTCCTCCAAGCAGCAAGTCATCCTCACCCAAAAACTTCACAGAGATACAGTAGAAACACGCACTCATGTTTATTTTCTATTTCTTTTTTCAGCGTTGAATATAGCAGGATGAAAATATTACCAGCTGCTTGTTTCTCCATAACTAAAGAAAAGCAGAGGAACACCCCTCAATATGCAAATTTGAAGATGAAATGATGTGTGGATTTTTTGGATGTTGTGGTAAAGTTACAGTGTCATCATGTGGTCCCGTTAAAGTTTAAACAACGCTTCACTCAGTTCTTGCCATTTATTCAGACGAGTAACAACAACAACAAAAAAAGACAAGACAACTGGAAGATCTGACATTTTTAACCTAAGTGCATCAAAAATGTTCAAAAAGCATCAACAACAAATAAAATCTAAACAAACACCCAAACATTACACAGGTTGTGAGTAGTGTGAAGACGGAAAGCTGACCAGCAGTGGGGGACGGTGTAAAGGCAGCTTAACACATTCAAATGATTTCTCACATACATTTGCCACAAAGAGACAGAATGTATGGTTCTCTATGAGAAACAAGTTGAATATAGAGCCGTGGTTCTTGGTTAGGACACTGTAACAAGACCTGGATGATGCGGATGTTGCCGGGGAAACAGAGCCATTCGATCTCCATGAACCCTCGGCTCATTGTGTATGCTAATGTACTGTAAGTGTATCTCCATCCTGGCCTGAGAATAACTTGCCCCAACAGGTCCCAAGGCAAGGCTTTCATCTGACTTTACACCTAAACCCTCACGTCAGGTTGCAGAAAAATATTTAAAACCCTTCATTTTCTTACAAAAATTAACAATAATGATGATAATAATAATAATTATTATTATTATAAAACTGCGACAAAACACAAAAGAAGAAAATATAGCAATTTACTTGTGCAAACCTACAGTCAAATGACTTGTCACCATTAAAAAAAAAGAAATTAAATTATATTCAATTGTTCCGATGCAACACTCGTGTGAACGCATGCAAGCATCCCTCTCTGACAGGCAGGGATGTGGTGAGCTCTGAGGGATGGGTGATGGGAGGGAGGAACCAAACAAAATAAAATAAAAGACGCCAGGAAAAAACAGTAGTGTTTGATACACCCATCAAAGACGAGATCTAACAAAGCCTTCGACTGGGGAAAAGGTGTGACTGCCCTGTGTGTGTGTAACCGTGGCTGTTTGGATCATCTCTGTGGTCAATCCCTTCTTCAAACGGGGTTTCCCAGAGAGAAAACCAGGGACATATTGTACAGTAGGGCCATTGTGTGTTCTGTAGTGTGTCATTTAGAAAAAAGAAATCAGTATAATAAAAAGGTCATTTGCACAGCTGCACCATCACTACCTCGCCCGTGTTAGAAAATGCATCAATGAGAATATCTCAAATTAAACTGTGTTTTAACGGTCCCAAAACCCTCAAAAACAATTCATCAGGGTCCCTAAAGCTTAGGGAGGAAGGCAAGAAAGATAAATATGATTACACAGAGGCGGGACCTGCAACAGGTTTGTTTTATGTTTAGTTCATAAGATGATGAGTCTTGGTTTTTCTCTCATAGATTATCATTTGATTTCTTTTTACTTAAATGGGACTGAATCAAAACTGGAACCACCCCCACCCCCACCCAGCAGATATGGCATTCTGATCCAAAATCCCACATCCCGTGTTTGTGTTTCCACCGAAAGCATGCTGCAAACGACCAGACTGCCGCGCTCTACAACACCAACTTGCCCACGATGACGCCGACCACAAAGAAGAGCATGATGAAGGCCACCGAGCGGGCGCTTATCCCTTCCTCCCGCTTCATGGTGGCTGAGGCATGCTGGGACGACATGATGTTACTCTTCCTCATCCGGAGCCCGTCATCCTCCTGTCGAAGGTCAAAGAAAGAAGGGAAAACAGCAAAAGTAAATAAGATAACATGAATAAATGGAAAAATGGGGATGAAGGAGAGGAAATAAGGCCAGTTAGCTATTGGTTTAATAGCCCAGTATTTATTTATTAACTCAAAGAGACTGGATCTGTTTAAATCTTCATCTGAACCAATCCCCAGAGGAACGCAGAAGGCACCAGATTTTAACTCTTCATTTCCCAGCAGTGGGTGGGGAAGGGGGTTGGAGTTTCTGTTGGTTTAATCTCAGCCGCGGGAGAAGCCAACAATCGTTCTGCGTCAGGCTAAAACTTAAAGGGGCGGGGATGTCTGAAGGGAGGTCCACTCTTTTTTGGCAGTCAGAGGAGCTGATTGTGACTCACACCAGCCAAACTTGTACAAAAACCCGTTTTAAATGTGACCTCACTGATAGCTCTGATCAGGGGCGGATCTACAAAATTATTTATGGGGTGGCAGAAGAGGGGCAAACATTTTTCTAGGGTGGCAATACATATATATACACACACACACACATATATATATATATATATGTATACATACACACACACACACACACACACACACACACACAGAAACACATTTTCCTTTGTCTTTTCCCAGGATTTACATATTCATTTGTTTTGGGTCCTAATTTAATAAGCTTAAAGGCCCATCACGAAAATAAAACACATAATAAAATTATGTCCTTCCTACAACAGCTGAATGCGGCAGTTTCCATGTTGCTCAGCAAAACAATTTACACATTCATCAAGGTCCAAAGATTTTGCCCGTTTTGATTCAATGCTGAGTACAGCCTAGCTTCATAGTCTTTTCTCTGTCAAAGGAGACTGCAAATAGGTCTTTATGAGCCAGACAGTTGAAAAACGTTGATTTTTCTTGAATTTATAGCTGCCAGCTGGGGTGGCAGCAGCGGTAGCAAGGCTTTCTTTTAGGGTGGCAACTGCCACCCTATGCCACCCTTATAGATCCGCCCCTGGCTCTGATTGATCGCATGATCTTTAGTTTAAATGACTCAATACAAACCATAACTCTGAGTAGCTGTCAACGGCTAGAGCGCTCTGCTTTCATCACTGAATATCAACTCCTCATCTGCGTTTCATGATCATAAATATCCATTAGGACAAGGTAAAATAAAATAAACCACAAGGAATTATTTTTACAGTGGGTGTTCACTCACGTCTACCTCAGGCGAACTATTGAGGGTTTTAATTTAGCACAAAATAACCTTTAATTAAAATCAAGGCATGGCAATAAATCAATTACAAAACAATGAAAATACTTATTTAGTGTTGACATAACAACAAATACGAGTGTGATTTACATGATTTAGGTCTTTCAGCTGAAAACCAAAAATGCACTTTTGGGTCATTTTCAGCTGAAACATTTCCGTGGCCAAATTTTCGGTGCATCTCTATTGAAATGATCTTCACATACAGATGGCAACCGATACATTAAATGTTATGTTCACAATATGAATAATTTAAAAGTGTATAAATCTTAAAATATTTCATCCAATCATTGTGACCATCCCAGACTAAGCAATTGGCTCCTGATCCATCCATCAAACTGCCCTCTGACCATCCCTCCCCCCCCTCTATGTGCACAAATCACGAGATTTCTTGAAGAAGTGGTTTTACATGTTCCATTTAGAGCCTGGTTCTGCTCTTGTGTGGAAACATTAAGGTGACGAAGCTGTTATCTATAAAGGAAGCCTCTCCTCTGTCAGCTGGCAGAGCTGTCGGGTCAGTTTGCTGCCTTGGCGACACGTTTTTGTGGGTGGGGAGTCATTAGAGGGGACAACAAGACTGAGGAGGTTCTGGTTGGCTCAGAATGTTTTCACTGTTGCTTGTGGGGTTTTTAACAGATTGTCGGTGCCGCTAAGTTGATGTAATTCTGATGTTAAAAATAAACCAAGAAAGCTAAAAACTGCCTCGTATCACCATAGAAAGGTCATGCTATATTAGCTAGCATGCTAAATTGTTATATGGCTGTGTAGGTGTGTCTGTTAGGATTTATGGCAGAAAAAGTGGCAAATAAGGTTGAAAATGTTAGAAGGAACTTTCCGAAACAAGCACTGCACTTTTCTGTATTCTGGAGGTGTAGCATGGGGGGGCAGAAACAGGGGGTTGGACCTTTCTTTTCTTTTTTTCTCCTAATTGTAGCTTGCTTGAATGGCATTTAAAGGAACTCTGACCCTACCTCTGAAGGGACTTTAACTTTCACTTTGCACATCTCTTAATTACCTGTGATTCTTTCTCCAAAACACAGAAAAATAATGAATAAAATAACCCCACCGTGGTCTTCAAAGGCATGTTACTCACTCTAATTTGTTTGTTTTCTTCCCGTAGCCTCTGAGCCTCCATCTGCAGCCTCTTGCACTCCTCCATGATCTTTTTTACTTCCCCGTCATCCAGGGTGGAGCTCAGTGACTTCGCAGACAGCACAGAGGGATCTGACTTCAGCAAGCTGGATGAAATCTTGTTGGACTCCATGTCATGCTGTAAGTGGGTCACAGGAGGACAAGCTCTAAATTTTTACAAAGTCACTCTGAACACCAATGCTGTTGCCTGGCACTGAGGTACAACCCTGTGTTCACATCAGAGTACAGAGACACAAATGTCTTTGTGGGAAGGTTCACACAGAGGTACCTTTCATAAGTGGATGAAGCTGCTTTCTATCAGTATCATCTCTAGTGTGATGCTGTGGCACGGAGCTCATACTGGGAGCTGCATCCCACGGCTCACACACGAACCAGGGCTTGTTTTTGCTTGTTTAAAAGCCTGTGGACTATGCTTAAATCTATGGGAAAACATCATTTCTGTGGAGTGGAATAAGATGGCCTGAGAAGAATCAAAACAATAATAAACTAAATGTGCGCCTAAACAAATTGGCTCCATAAAAAGTTGAGTAAGTGTGGCTGTAAGAGAGAGAAAAGGGCAAAAAAGAACTTTTCTGTGCCAAAAGAAAACGAGAAGACTGAAATAAATAAATGAGACACAACAGATACAGGAAGAAAAAAAAGTGGGTAAGATGGAGGGAAAACAATGATTAACATCAAAACTTATGAATAATGCAGCCACCCATTGGGACAAACATTAACCAGAAAACCTTTTAGGTGTAGAGACAGAATGCTAACTTTTGACCCAAAAAATGAAGCAGCTTCCAACATGAATAATACGTAGATAGCATGACTGAGGTCATCTAATTATTTACCAGACAAGTTGCAGTCACGCTAACAAAAATCTGCATTGTTGTGAGCTTACCGTTTTCTCGTTCTCCACTGGCATCTCAAAGACACACCTCAGCTTGGAGTCCATCAGCTCCTCTGACTTTGCCTCCTTCCACTGGAGACAGAAAAAACAAACAAATAAATAAATAAACACAACATGAAACTTATTTTAAGGTATATATTTTGGAGATAGACAAATTGATAAAGTAGTTCTCTCACATTTGCCTAAAAACCTCCACCACTAACACGTTTCGAACCGAAGGTAACCCCTAGACTGTCCAGCACTTCCGCTCTTCCCTGGGTCCTCCACTGATTAAACACTCGCATATTTAGCAACAGAACACCACTGGTGTGAGTGGTTCTCCATTCAATAATATCAGAGGTGGAGAAACAGCTGGCTGCTACCACTTCAACTTTAGGACAAACTACCAGAGTCCCAAAAATAAAAATAAAAACATCTGAAGTCATGGACAACCAAAGACATTTGAACATAGAAATGACGACTGGTGTTTAGCACTATCTCGTTTCCTCTGGCATCGTGAGTTTCCAGTTTCGGCATAAGCATCTCAGGGAATGCATCCGAGATGAGGGGTGAGTGTTCTGTGAGTTTGTGTTAAAACCTAGCTTGTTATGTAGATTCACTTAAACAGCTTTACTGCTAAATTAATAAATAAACCAAAGTATAATTTGTCCTAATAAATAAACAGGGACAGCAAGGTGGCACAATTGCTAACACTGTTGCCTTGCAGCAACAAGGTAGACGGTTAGAATCCCGTCTGCAGCCTTTCTGTGTAAAAATGTGCCTGTTCTCCTCATGCATGCTAGGGTTTTCTCCCACTGATCAAATTCACCCATGCTGTGTTTGGTTAACTACATGTGTCCTCGTGATGGACTGGAGGCCTGCGAAGGGCATCTCCTGCCTCTTGTCCAGTGGCAGCTGCAGCAAATCACCAGTTCAACTTATTTCACAATATCTTTTGTTCATAAATTCTGGACATTTAAGATGAGGTCATTTTATTTCTACTTCTTATTTGCATTTATATGATCTATAAATGTTTCTGTCAGCAGTTTTAACCACAGATTTGGATTTAATATTAATTTATTAAGACAGAGATGGGCATAACTACTTTAATATAATCCGCAAGTGACTAAAATCACCTGTTGTACAAGTTGTACCATCCCTCCCAGATTAATAAGCAGGGTTACAGAACACTTTGTTTTTACATAGTTTACGGTTACTTTCTAAGTCTAGGGATGTGTCTAGTTAGTTAAAGTTGGGTTTCAGGGGATTTCAAGACACCAAAGGTATAGTTTAGACAATAATCACATTTGCACATTACATTTATGTAAAGCAATGAATACTGAACAATTTTAAAGAATATGTTAAGGTTGTGGGGGGGGGGGGGGGACTCTTTCAGGAGCCAGTTGTAGATTTTGTAAACTTCCTGCAGGTTTAAATGAGTGAAAGAGGTAAATGCTTCGAAAGCGCTCATCCTAAATGGGATGACACTCCTCTTGTGACATTTCCAAATGTTTAGGTTTGGGAGGATTGAAAATGAAAGGTCCTTTTTAAAACCCTAACTGTGCTTTTAATCAGCTTCTTATAAACAACTTGACCATTATCAAACACATCTAGACTGTTCATTAATTTCTGACCATCTGAGAGTAAAACAAAATGACAGAAATTTACAAAGTTACAAACCTCTGCTTTGCTTGTAGCTTTTTACTAATACAGTTTTGCACAACATCTAAATGAAGCTCATTGTGTGCACGCTGACCAGGACTGCAAAAATGATTGGTAAACTGCACAGACTCTGAGTTTCTATAGTTGTATGACACCGTTCTGCTGTAAACTTGTACATTTAGCTCAGGAAAATCAGATATGCTCACTGTTTTACATTAAGATTCAATGCATGCTGCTTCTTTCTGCAGAAGGAATGGTTTCATAACTGCAACAAAATGCACAGTCAGATAAGCATTAATTAGAAATACTGAAAGAGGAACAACACTCACCACTCCTTCCATGTCGGTCATGTCAGGAGGTGCTAGCATGGACTGGACCATAAACTTGTGTTTGCTCTTTTCATTTGGATCGTAATCAAAAGGCTGCAGCATAACTGAAACACAAGAGGACAGTCAGACGTTAAAACAAGGAAAACAGTGAACAAAAATAGACAATTAATAACCCTCAATACCATGACAATTTTTTATTCAATAACATTTGGCCCGTGTGACTGTAGGGCTTAAAATATCCAAACTGTGGGTAACATGATTATTTAAAACACACAAACGAGTAATGAAAACAAACTGGCAATAACTTGAAATTCAACAAAAATGTAAATACCGTAAATCCTCTAATATTGGCCTGTATTCAATTGACGGCCGGGCATCATATTTTGGCCGGTGTCGGAGTCGGTGAACGATGGCCGGTATTTTATTGTAGCCAGGTGGAATGTGGTAACAAGCAAGTACCACGGGGGGGGGGGGGGGGGGTTGTGTCATCCGTCTCACTTTTGATTTGCCAGTGAAGGACCGCGATTTGGCAGGTGCGGAGACGAAGAGGAGGCAAAAATTTGATATCAAGTTCAAAGAGAACGTGCTGATTATGCTGCAGAACACTGGGGAGCAGTAGCAGGGGTTGTATGAACTAGTCGACTTCTCTATAGTGACTTTTTATGCCCATCATCGACTAGTCGCTGTCACGTGATAATGACCGGCAAGATGCAGTCCTCGGAAAAGTCAGCAGCCTGCTGTCAGCAGGTGACAAGCTCCTGCGCGTCGGGAGGCAACGCGCTGTGCCAGAGCGTCGGTACTGACACCCGCCGTAAAACGGACATTTAACCAAATTGTGACCTTTACCCTCTTGCAATTTAACCATCCCCTCACCCCCATCCTAACCTTAACCAGCGTGCGCATGCAAAGCTCTGATTGTTGACGCGCTCCAGACATCTGCATCCTGAGCACGGCCACAGTAACATTATCAAATTAAGTGTCGCCACCTCAAAAACTAATTTAACACGCGATCGTTCATGTCGGCTCATTTCCTTTAATGTTTTCTGTCTTTTACTTGCGCCTGATGCGTTTCGCTGCTGTGGAGCGGGGCGCATCACCTTGTCCTCCGGTGACGCACCGATCACTGATGCAGCCGCCAAGCAGCGAGCACTCCGCTGTTTTTGCGGTCGGTAGATCTTTTAGAACTGCAGTTCAAAGGTAACTCATAAGGTGAATATATATGAACCCAGGTAGCAGTTTTTCTTTAGGATTGAGAGGAGATGCAGGAAGATAATAAACAGACAGGACAGAAAAACAGTCAAATAAAAACAAGCTAGTTTTTGTACCTGGTGGTTGCAACAAACAGACACCACTGAAGGTAATCAGAAGTGAGGAACAGAAAATGAAAGAATTATTTTAATGTTTAGAGCAGCAGGAACTCCGAGAGGCTGCAGGCGCATCCGTGAGTTTGCGGCCGCTGCGCGGGGGGGGGGGGGGGCTGAAGCAGAAACTACCGTTGTTAAAAGAAATGTGTTTAACTTTGAAAATGTGGGCGCAATTTTAATTGTCAAAAACTCCAGTGAACCATTAGTTCATTTTGCTCAAATAGAAATAGAGGCCTGCCTCTAATTCTCGTCCTCCTTCCAATAAAGGTCTGGAGCTTGATGAGCTTGAGTCAAATACAGGCCCGGGCCTGTATTAGAGGATTTACGGTGTAGTAATACAGTATCCATCCATCCATTATCATCTGCTTATCTGGGGTCAGGTCGCAGAGGCTGCAGCCTAAGCAGAGAGGCCAAGATTTCCCCATCTCCAGCCTCTGGGGGAATCCCAAGGCGTTCCCTGGTCAGTTAAAAAACATAGTCCCCCCAGCGTGTTCTGGATCTTCCCTTGGGTCTCCGCCCGGTTGGACGTGCCTGGAAAACCTCACCAGGAGGCATCCTCCTAACCAGATGGCCGAGTCACCTCAACTGGCTCATCTTGATGTGGAGGAGCAGCAGATCTACTCTGAGCCCCTAGCAGATGACGAGCTTCTCACCCCACCTCTAAGGGAGAGCCAAGAAACCCTGCGGAGAAAACTCATTTCGGTGAATCTCCAACCTCATTCTTTCGGTCACTACCCAAAGCTTGTGAGGGAAGGAATATAGATCGACCAGTAAATCAAAAGCTTAGTCTTCTGGCTCAGCTCCCTCTTCACCACAACAGACCTGTACAACGCCTGCATCACTGTAGGCAGTGTTGGTAGTGAACTGCTTTCCCCTCCTGAGATGCCAGATGGTGGACCAGAATCTCCTTGAAGTAATACAGTAATTCAATTAAAGTTTTAAAATGATATATCATAAAATTAATAGTGAACTGCAAAGATATTTTAGATGTTAAGTTTCATTTTACAGAGAGGTGTCCAAGCTTTTTAAGACAAGAGCCAACATTTTCAAGCAGAACCAGGCCAATGCATATGAGGGGCCTCCACACCACCAGAGGGCCCCCAAGAACACAAACATGGCGAGGGTTTGAAAAAAACACTACAGTTATGAACTTTCTCCTCTGATGTGTTGAAGTATAACGGTTTGCAATGCATTTAATTGTGGGACACTTTGCTGTCCTCAGTCCGCAGAAGGATGCAACGATGCATCCTCGACACAATGGATACAATGGGAGGAGCAACAACACATGCCACTTGCCATGATACGCACTTAGGATTCAGTGTTTCCCCTAGAAATTTTCCAGCCATGGCCCTGCGCCACGCCTGAACCTATGAAGGGGTACACTGCGGATTGGAACAGTACTTGGGCCATTGTTGATGATGTTTCACAAGGATATGAGTACACGAGTACAGACTAGTATGCATGTTGAGAAACGGCTCATGTTTGTACTTTTTACACATTTGTTCCTAAGTTTAAGAACAAAAGCTTTAGCAAACAGCCTGGAACTGCTCAAGGGCACAAAATTTTTTAATTTTTTTAAATAAAAAACAAAGCTTCAATTATTTTATGGTGCTCTTTTTTATTTGTACTCCTCACATGTCCAAGTATCACTACAACAACAGTCTCTAAGGGCCACATCTATATGCCTCATCTATACAAAAGTACTCTACTCATTTTAAACCTCATGAAAGCCTGGAAACAGTTTTTATTTATGCAGAGATGCTGGTAGCTTTCGTTAAAACACTGAATTTATGCATAGAAAATCAGATATAACGTTTCCTTGGCTATGTCGCATGGAAAATAAATTCCATGAGGATGACACGGTGATGGACAATCAAGCACTCTTGGGGTAATTTTCTAACAGCTTCTTAGCTGATTTCTTTCCCAACATTATATATCTCTTTAATAAAAAGCAGGAACAGAGGTCAAACACTACTCCAGCTCATCACTATATCAGTCCTCAGTGGTGCTTTTTGTTGTCATTCCAGTAACTGATTGGATACAATGATTTACAATAACCACCTAAGACTAAAAAGATTAAAAATAGCTAAAAAAAAACAACAGATGATTTCCCAGCCTTGACTCCAGGTTTTAAATCTAAATACTTATGCTGAAGTCAGTCCCACCATGTCTACAATGTCTGCTGGAGTTTCACTTGTTTTCAGTTTTTTAGGCTTTCACTGAAAACATATGGGCTCAATTCAAAGCTGGCCCAGCTTTCAGTATGAAATTCATATGTGGCACATGCCCATACTCCCAGGAGGAGTGTTGTGCAGCATTTCAGCAATCAGTGTGGCTCGATATTGCAAATCAGAAACAGACGACAAGAACAGATTGAGAATGTCCTGTTTCAGTCAGTCCCAATTTGCACAGCCATCCAGCTCGGGTCCACTGGGACAACACCAGAGAGCAGAGGAAGGAAAGCGTGGAAGTTCTTTGAGAAACACTGAATAGTGTTAAAAGGTATGAGCCAAAGCTTAAGATGGAAAAAACACATCCGTCATAGGGGAAGACGTGATTCCAATCATCTTTCATCTGCTGACTTTAAACATGCTTTTAGAAAGAACTACTTCTGCTAATGCCATGATTTAGTATTCATGCTTCATTTTATAGAATTCACAAAGGCCAAATGTTGTAAATATAATAAAGCAGGATGGTAAACGTCAGTCTGCTGTTGGTAATGATGAATAGAGCCATTATATCCGTAAGAGAAGTCATTTCTTGTCACTAATAAATTGTGTTCTGGGGAAAAAGATGCTCACAACCAAATCTCTACTTTACACCGAAGAGCCTACAGAAGTCAACCCTTCATCTGCACATGCTGTGTTAAGTACGCAGTAACAGAACAAAAATGGTTTCTGCAGTGTGTAGTTGTATTTTTGGCGTAAGCTAACTAACATTTGTTTTCTGAGAAATGCTCGAAAGGGTGGTAGAAATGTAGTATTACACTTAGTATGTGGTATAACCATGATGCAGCACAATTCACTGTTGAAGCAAGGAAGCTATTGAAGAAGATAAATGTAAAGACTGGTGGAGGACCGGTAAAGAAGACATAAGAATACATGTGAAAACTTTATAAAAGGTTTAGTCTTGAAAATGTATTAAATATGTTTTTTAAATGTTTTCTATTATGAGAATAGAACAGAATGTATTTAATGTCATATAACAAAATTTATAAGGGGTGCCATCACCTTCAGTGCATAAAAACGGTAAAAACAAGAAATAAAAATGAATAAATAAACACATACTACATTTACACTCACATTCACATCCTCATTCCATTCATGCATTATTGCACAATACATGATATTACACAGTTAAGAAGGATCATGATGAAAGTCCTATCTATACTGTATTTAATGTGCTCATTGCTTTTGCATAGAAACTGTGTTTCAGTCTGTTTTTGTGCTTTTAATGACCTAAACTTCTCCCAGAGGGCAACAGTTTAAAGTACGAGTGACGTGGATGTGATGAGTCCCTCAGAATGTTGCTGGCCCTCCTGAGGCAGCGAGCACGGTACAGGTCTTCCAGAGTGGGGAGTGAGCAACCCATGATTTTTTGGGCCGTGTTAACAACCCTCTGGAGCGATTTCCAGTTTGCTGCTGTGCAACTGGCAACCCACACACACATGCAGCCAGTCAGGATGCTCTCTATAGAGCAACTGTAGAAGGAGTAGGGATGCTCCAATCTTCCAGGGTGGT